AGGGAGTCTCGAGAGGGAGCCTCGTCTGTGGGTGAATTCTGAAGAAGTGTTGAGCCCGAGCTCCCTCCCTAGTTGGGCCCCAACTGCACGATGATTGTCCGAGCGGGCCATGGGAAACCTGTAACTGTCGTCACTCTTGGGCTCTTCAGGTCCGAACGTAGAGGAAGTCTCCGGCGGGAACCTCGTCCGTGCATGATGTGCGAGGCAATCTCAGGCGAGAGCCCCCCTCCTATAGGGTCCCCGCTTCATGTAGTAACACGAGCGGGTAATCAAACATGTAGCTATTACCACGGTTGGACTCCTAAGCCCTCTGGGAGCCATATTTGGCCATCTCTCGGATGCTCCAGCGCGTCGCGGGGCGCCCCGCCCAGGCGCAGGGGGAGGGGGTAGCGAGGGGGCGGTGAAAGCCCATCCCGAAGGGTTGTGTTGCCCCCGTCCTGCTTAAGGACCGCATCCCAGAAATCATCTCCGAACCAGAGCCTCGCCCGCGAGTGAAGTGTGAGGAAGTCTGCAGCCACAGCACCCCTCGTCATGCCCCCCCCCCACACTTCATCTCAGTAGTCCGAGCGAGTCGCCTGTTTCCTGACACTGTCATGTACACGCTGGTCGTTCAACGTGAAATAGGAAGGCGGACATAGCGGATTGGGTCCAGGTCCCCCCAGAGAATAACAAAACACAGCAAAAGCATGCCGGTCGACTCTTGATTCTAATATAAAGACCGCTCGACTCTTGAAGTAGGAAGGCGCTTGAAGTAGATTGGGATCTGGGAAACCAAAAATACCTAAGTTCAACGACCGGCGTGTAGCTGGTGCTCTTGAGGCCTGAATATGGGGGGGGCATCTCAAGCGGGAGCCCCGTCTGTGAGCGAGATGTGAGGCAATTCCAGGCGAGAGCCCTCTCCATATCCCCCCCCCACACACACACACACACACTTCATTTAACAACCCGAGCGGGTCGGCGGAAGCATGTTAAATGTCGTCGTCCGTTTGGGGAAACAGGTGGCTGAATCTGAAGGAAATCTCAAACGGGAGCCCCGTCTGTGAGTAAATCGTGTGGAGACGTGAAGCGGGAGCCCCCCTCCCTATGGGTGCCCCCACCGCATGTTAGTAATCCGAGCGGGTGATCGGAAACCTGTAACTTGAGGCCTAAATATGGAGGAAGTCTCGAGTGAGTGGGAGCCTCGCCTATGAGTGAACATGGAAGAGGTCTCGAGCGGGAGCCTTGTGAATGAGTGAACTCTGGAGAAGCATAAGACGGAAACTCCCTCCCTGAGGGGCCCCATCAGTATTTTAGTAGTCCGAGCGGGCCAACGGAACACTGCAGCAGGCGCCAGGAACGTCTCGAGCGGGAGCCTCATCTGTGAGCGAATCGCGAACACGTCTGGAACGTAAACTCTCTCCCTATGGGGCCTCGCCTCATGCTAGCAGCCCGGGCGGGTCATCGGAAACCTGTCACGGTCGCCACTGCTGGGCCCCTGCGGCCGAGTCTGGAAAACGACTCGAGCGACGGCCTCGTCTATGGATAGAGCGTGAGGAAGCCTCAGGCGGGAGCCCCGTACATATAGGGTCCGTTCGTCATGTCGATAACCCTAGCGGGCCATCGGAAACATGTAACTGTCGTCACGGTTGGGCTCCTGAGGCCTGAATCTCGAGGACGTCTCGAGCGAGAGCCTCGTCTGTGACGGAAGTGTGAGAAAGTCTCATGCTGAAGCCCCCTCCCGAGACCCCGCAATTCACGCCAGCAACTCGAGCGGGCCGCGGGAAACTTGTAACTGACGTCACTCCTGGGTCTCTGGAGGCCTGAAGATTCAGAAGTCTCGAGTGGAAGCCTCGACTGTGCGTGATGGCATATTGATCCGAACGGGGCATTGGGAATCCGCCACTGTCGTCACGTCGGGGAGCTTGCAGCCTGAACGTAAAGGAAAAATCTCAGGCGGGGGCCTCGTCTGCGACTGGGCATGGGGGAAGCCTCGAGCGGAAGCCCCGTCCTCCTGGTGGCCCGCGCTTTTCCGAGCGAGGCGCCGCAGCTCTCGCAGGTCCCACGGGCCTCACAGGCCCCACGGGCCGCCCAGCTCGGGCAGGTCCCACAGGCCCAACACTGCCCCGCAGGACGCACGGGTTCCTATGATGCCCCCACCGCGCGCACGAGTCCTACAGGTCGTTCAGGACCTCCCACAAATACCAAGGGTACTTTCTACTGGGCTCGCAGGGCCCACAGGTCCCACAGATCCCACAGGTCCCACAGGAGCCACAGGTCCCAAGGACCCACGGGCTCTATAAGTCTGACAGGCCCAACGGGTCCCACAAATTCCAAAGGCCCCGCTAGTCCCACATGTCCCCTGGGTCCCGCAGGTACCACGGGTCCCACAGGGACCGCAGGTGCCCGATGGCTCGCAAGTCCCGCAGGTGCCCTATGGCTTGCAGATGCCCACAAGTCTCACACGTGCCCGATGGCTTGCAAGTCCCACAGGTCCCACACGCCCCAGAAACCTCACAGCTCCAACAAGCCTCACAGGTCGCACAACTCCCAGGGGCCCCACAGGTCCCAGACGTCGCAAGATGGTAAACGGGCCTTCTGCCCGCATCACCACCGTTGATTGTCGATGGTCAGGACTCTCAATATCATGCGGCATCATCCGTCGGAGTACTCTGTAGCAGGATGGCATGTAGCGTCTCCAAACTGCGCCGTTGGCCCCCGAAGTACAACAACGGTTCCCGCCTGGTACTACGTCAAGAAATATTCGAGAATCTTTCTCTCGCGCCATCGCCCGAAGTCCTCGCAACTCCTTCAGGACCGACGTTTCAGCGACCCGCCTGCTCGACCCCGGCCGTCTGGGCACGCCCGCTCGACGTGCCCGTCAGAGTCCGCCCGCCCGACCCGCCCCCGTCTGGTCTGCCGCTGGTGTTCCTCCTCCCTCCCTTCCCATGTTTCCAGGACTGTGCCAACTATACGTATATACGTGGCAGGTACGGAACGATCGAAAGCCAAAAGGGCGGGCATCGACGGTTTAGGATAGACATGTGGAACGACACGCGAGCAGACAACTGCGAACAAGCTGACACGAATTATGAACTGTCACTTCCGAACCCGCGACGGCGCCTCTAGAACGAAGAGGGGTGCCCATAAGCTCACGCAGCACCGAGAGGGTTGTGCTGCTGCTGCTGCAGCCAGAACTGTAAGCCCTGTGGGGCCCGGAGCGAGGCCGGCCCGGGCCGGCCAGGGGGCCGCAGGAATCGCTCGCGGGTGGGCCTCACCCGCCCAGAGGGGCCCCAAAATGAACGCAGATGGCTTGAAAAGAACAAGGGCCCCGACTCGCCCCAAGATCGCTCCAAGACGCCCAATATAGCCTCGAGATGGCCCCAGGGGTCTCCGAGACGTCACAAGAGGCCTCCAAGAGGCCTTCCAGGAGGGCCCCAAGAGGCAAAGATACGGACTGTCCTAAGGTTGTTGAGAGATGTTGGCGTCCTCGCCCGTTCGGCTTTCCGATGCTCCAAGACAGCCCAAGAGGCCCCCAACACCACTGCAAAACGGACCAAGACGGCCCCGAGACGGCCCGAGAGCGCCACGATACGGCCCAAGAGTCACTCCGCCCAAGGCGACCCGAAAGTGCCCCAAGACAGCCCGAAAAGGGACCCAAAACCCAAACGAGGGAACGCGAACCGAAAATCTGAGCTGTCCGACCCAAGATGCCCCCAGAAGGCCCTAAGAGGCGCTCAAGAGACCCCAAAACACGACCAGGAGGCCCCCGAGAGGCCACCAAGAGGCCCCAAAGAAGCCCATAAGGCCTCGAGAGGCCCCCACCCACAACCCAGGCACGGTGGCGGGATGGGCCGAAGCTCATTCGATCCGCCGCCCCCTGTCGATTCATCGCAGAGGTGCCTGGCGTTCCAAATCATTACGGTTTTGGTTACTCCCCCTGGGGCTGCGGCCCGTCCCGCCGGGGTCCCGGGAAACCCATCTGTCAATGCTTCTGTTGCCCCAAGATGGCCCAAGATGGCCTCCAAGACGGCCAAGATGGCCGAGAGCGAGACAGAGAACGACAGCAGGGCCACGAAGGGCACGAAGTGGGCCACGAAGGGTGACAGCGGGGACACGAAGGGACTGCGTATGGGGCCACGAAGAGCCCGAACGAGCGGGGGCCGCGAAAGGCAGATAATGCGGGGTCACAGAAGTCAACGCCGGGGACACTGAGGGTAGCAACTGGGCCACGTAGGACAGCGAGGGGGCCACAAAGGGCGACAGCGGGGCCACGAAGGGCATGCAGATTGGGCCACGACGGGCACCAACGAGCAGGGGCCACGGGCCGCGGAGGGCAAGGACGGGGCCACTGAGGGCAGCAACGGGGCCACGAACGGCAGCGAGGGGGCCACGACCGGCGACAGCGGGGCCATGAAGGGCATGCAACTGGGGCCACGACGGGCGCGAACGAGCGGGGGCCACAAGGGGCATACATATACGGCGACCCGCTCACCCACGACCCATCCAACGACCCACCCCGCGACCCGCCCGCGACCCACAAGCTCCACCCCGCGCCCGCCCCCCCCCCCGTTGTCCGCCACTGCGGGGTGTTGCGCGTGCGCTTGCTGCAAAAGACCGGCTCTTGATGGGCCTGTTTTCCACCACCACCACCATGAGTTGGAGAGGGGAAGGAGGAGGAGGAGGAGGAGGAGGAGGAGGAGGAGGAGGAGGAGGACCCCCTCCCCCTCCTACTTATGGTGGTGGTGGTGGTGGAAAACAAGCCCACCAGCTCTGCCTGCAGTCTCTCCCCGGCTGGCTCGACCTGCGAGGGCTCCTCTGGGGCCCGACACGGGGCGCCACCGCCCGGCGTGAGAGAGAGATGCGACGCCCGCGCCTCTCCGGGCGCCATGCCCAACAACAAACGCTGTCCACTGCAACCGACAGCGGCCTCTGCTGGGCAGGAGACTGCTTGCACTCAAAAAAAAAAACAGTCTGCGGCGGCGCGGGCAGCGAGTTTTCCTCAAAATGAGCAGCCCGGTGTGAGAAAGATGCGACGCCCGCGTCTCTGTGGGAACAATGCCCAACAACAAATGTTGTCCACCACAACCGACAGCGGCCGCTGTCGGGCAGGAGACTTTTTGTGTTCAAATAACTAAAATCTGCGGCGGCGCGGACAGCGAGTTCTATTCACAATGAGCAGCCCGGTGTGAGAAAGATGCGACGCCCGCGTCTCTCTGGGCACAATGCCCAACAACAAATAGTATCCCAAACCGAAACCGGCCGCTCTTGGGCAGGAGACATTTTCGAATTCAAGGAACAAAGTCTGCGGCGGCGCGGACAGCGAGATCTCTTCAAAAGGAGCATGAACTGCCGTTGGGCGTCGTGCACACTCCTTCCGTACCCATGTCGATCGTCCCGAGTCGCAGCACATCGGCGGTGGACAAACCTCAATTTAGAGACATAGTGAAAACGGTCTGGGACCGAAACCGACGGACCTTGACCGAAAACGGCCGATTCCTTAATCGACGTGTCAGGGTAGGAGGTCTATCCACCTCCGAGCACAGGCCGGAGAAAAGCCACTCGCATCACCAGCACCTCTCGGGCCGCCCGTCCCAGATCCGCTCAGAATCGGTGCATCCTGTGAGCAGGGACCGATCGTCCCGGCATCCCTATAGTCCTACCACGACATGTTCCTAGAACCCAAACATGTTCTAAGGACCAAAACAATGCTCTTAGAACAAATTCCCGATGTGTTAAAACAAGACAGTCCCAGCCAGACATGTTCTAAGAATATTTCCTGGAAACCACAAAAAAGGTTCCTAGAACATGGTTTGGTAGGGCTATAGGCGAGCCAGGACGCTTCGCAACTGCGTGCATCCTGGCCCGTGTTTGGAAACGGGATCCGGCGGTGACGACGAGCAGCCCGCAGGAGATGCTCACACAGAGGCCGATGCGAGGCCGCAGAGTCAGAACCTCGAGAACTCGATTCTAGAGGTTGGCAGGGGGCCCCCCACCCAGCAGGGCCAGATGCTCGTCATGGGGACCTCCCTGGAGCCACTCGCTCCGCTCCTGCATCGATGCCACGTCGATCGCTCGATGAGTCAAACTTGTGGACCTTGAACCGAACTGCGAACGAGCTGGAGTCGAACCAGGGCCGAACGAACAGATCCGCTGATTATTTGGGCCGCAGGATGACCCCCAGGAGGAACATCTAAGCAGGGCGTCTCAAGGCCTCCAGTTCACTCTCCGCCCTGTCGGCGCGCGCCATGCTGGCCTCCGTTTCCTCGACGAGCGCACGCACCTTGGATTCCGCCGCCTGGTTCGGGGGGCGCTGGCCAGTCGCTGACCACATGCTCTCCTCCTCCTCCTCCTTCTCCTTTTCCTCCTCCTTTTCCTCCTCCTCCTCCTCCTCCTCGTCCTCCTCCTCCTTCTCCTCCTCCTCCTCCTCCTCCATTCGTTCTCCTTCGAAATAGCTTCCCCATGTCGCACCCCGAGGCTAGTTTTTAGGGCGGGCCGGGCGTTTCGCCTGAGACGTCCTCACCACTTATGAATCTGAAGCGTGAAAATTGGTAACAGATTCACAGATGGAGGGCGGGTCGTCTTCAGCATGCGGTTCTCGCTTTAAGCGCAGCGCACATTCGTTTGAAACAATTCGTAAGGAGCTTCACGAATTGAAAGCGGGTGGTTTTCAAACAATGGTTTTCGCCCACGCGCGGCGTTCATTCGCATTACCCAGTTGCAAGAGTTTCACGGACTGAAGGCGGCCCATTATCAAAATGTGGCTCTCGCCTTAGCGCGGCGCACCTTCGTCCTAAACAGTTGCAACAGTTTCACGAATTGAGGGCGGTTCCTTTAAGAAATGTGGCTCTCGCGTGAACGCAGCGCACATTCGTTTTAACAATTTGCAAGAAGTCCAAGGATTCCCATCATCAACGTGTCAGAAACCGTGTTTTAAAAGGATTCGGGATCATGCTGGTGCAACAGTTATGTTGATTCGCTGTGTTGAAGTCACAGGAATGGTGTTCTTGCAAGATTCTGGATTGCTAAGACGCAACAGTCAAGTTGAGGCATGGCGTTGAAATCCCGAGAACAATATGTTTGGAATGTTTCAGGGTGTTCAAACGGTTGTTTTCCAAAGAGGCAGTTCTTTCAATAGAAATGAACCGTTGTAGGAGCCTGCGAAGAGGGAGTTTGGAGGAAGGGTGAATCCCAACATCGTTGATGACCCTTGGCTTTACACTGGTCCTCCTCCTCCTCCTCCTCCTCTTCCTCCTCCCCCTATTCGTTTCCCGGATTTGAAGCCAAGTCACGCCAGCCGCAGCGCTGTGGGAGAGGGGGAGGGAGGGGAAGATGGGAGGGGAGGGCGGGGAGATAGAGAGGAGGGGAAACCGCCACCCGTCCGCCCCCTGGTGTTCCTGCAGCCCTCCCAAAACTCGCTGGGAGGGGGGCTGCTGGGGGAGTGCCAGAAGGTGTCGCGAGTGCCCCAGCCTCACGGACATGCGGCGCGTCCGCCGCCAGCGACGACTCGTCTTTGGTCCAGCACCATTATGTCCTCTCGGGAAGATTGTCCTGCGGCTATTATGACCAGTGCCGGGACCATGAAGGCCTCGCGCTCGTGGGAGATATGCTGGAACGTTCCGTCCTCGCGCCCCCGACCGCTGACGTAGTCGATGACCCGCCTGCAGCGCCTCGCCAGCAGGTGGTTTTGGCGTATAGCGCTGCGTGAATGTCGCTCTGGAGCGCGTCGAGCTTCGCGATGTCTGGAGCGAGGCGGTCGTGTGGCACGAAGCCTGGCGCAAAGGGCCTGGTTGCTGCGCCAGCCTCGGATCAGCTGGGCTGCGCGGCGAGCCTCTGTGCTTGGGCGGCCTCCAGATCATCCAGCCGGGCCGCCTCTGGCCGGGCTGGGCTGCTGCTGATGCTCCGAATTTGGACAGTTCGCGCGTAGGTAGAGAGGTCACCTAGATGGGGTCCGAGAAGACGGGGTCGGAGGATCCCGCCGCATCGCCGATACGTCGGCGATGCATCGCGACTGCGTCGGCGATGAATCGGCCACGCCCTTGGCGGCGACGGCGATGCATCGGCGACCTCGCGATGCATCGGCGGTGCGGCGCGATCCTCCGACCCCATCTATGACGAACCAACAACACACACCCATACCCATAGGGGGGTCGGGGAGGGCTATGGGTGCGTGTTGTCGGATGGGGGTCCTCGCTCGAACGGGAGCGTTCCCCAGGGTCCGACAACCCGCACCCATACCCATAGCCAGTCCTCCTCTCAACGACCCCCCTATGGGTATGGGTGTGTGTGTGTTGCTCGTTCGTCAATCTACTCCGACCCCATCTACGAGCCCTAAGGGGTAGGAGCCTCGGCTGCGCGGCGAGCTCCGCCCTGCTCGTCGCGACTCCGCCCCGAGCCTGGGCGGGGATCGGGCGGCGGCGCGCGGCAGCGCGCGGCGCTGGCCGCTGCGCCCAGCCGGCCGCCTGGCGGGGTCGCGAGGCCGTCGCGCCGCGCGGCCGACGGCGCGGCCTGCTGCTCCTGAAGCCGCGTCGGCGGCCTCGGCTCCTCCTCGCGGTCCTCTTCGGTTGGCCCAAAAAGGGGTCCAGCTGAAAAGGGGGTGGTACCATAAAGGTGGGGCACTTGGATTGCAAATCGATTGCGCCGGAGAGTTGCACAGCCTTCTTTTGCAACTGCTGCATTCCACGCGAAAGCCCAACAACACAGTTGCGCCCCGGAATGTATAGCACGCTCCAAATCCATCGTAACCCGCCAATCTATGGCACCAGATGTATTGAACCACCCCCTTGTAGCTGGACCCCTTTTTGGGTCATCCAGATCCTCGGAGTCATCAAGCTCGCCGATCGAACCTCGCACCAAGCTCCGAGTTGAAGTCCAGCTCCTGGTTGACTGGCTCGGTGGTGCTCACCTCCTGGACACTCGGCACCTTGATCTCCGACTCTTTGATGTCCAGCTGCTCCATGTCAGCTTCCTTGATGTCTGGCTCCTTGAACTCCAGCTCCTTGGTGTCCCGCTGCTGGATGTCCAGGTGTCCAGCTCCGCATTGCTGTCCAACTCCATGATGGCCAGCTCCTCTATACACAGCTCCTTGGTGTTCAGTTCCATTATTGCCGATTGGTGTCCGAATCCTTGATGTATGGCTCTTGAGCGCTCGGCTCCTGAATGTATACCTCTTTTGTGTACAACTTCCGGATGTCCGACGTCTTGGTGCCCAAATCCGAAATGATGTCCAGCATCTGTGTGGCCGGCTCCTTGATATCCAGCTCCTGGTGTGCGGTTCCTGGAAATCTGATTACTTGATGTCTGGCTCCTTCATGTCCGTGGTGGCCAAATCCTTGACGTCAACCTCCTTTGTGCTCAGCTCCCTGGGCCCGACTCCGTGATGCTCGATTTCTTAGTGTCCCTTTTCTTGATGCCTGGTTCATGGGTCTGGACGTCAGGCTTCCTGATGTCCATTTCCAGATTGCCGTCGTGCTCCGGGACGATTGTCCTTTGATGTTCAATTCCTGGGTGCTCGGCTCCATGATGTGCTATGTCTTGACGTATGATTCATTGAAGTCAGATTCCTAGATGTCCGTCTCGTGAATGCCTGGCTCAGGGTGTCCTGCTTTGGACCTTGGCAGACGAAGATGCCGCACGCGCAGCGGACCGCGTGGTCCTGCGTGCGCACTCGCTGCTGCTGGCCCCTCGCAGTGGGGATGGCTGGGACATGACCACGCACTGCTGCTGCAATATCCCGCGTCGCCCTGGGAATGCCTCACCCGGAGAGGGGGGAGGGAGGGGAGGGAGGGAGGAAGGGACGAGGAGGAGGAGGAGGAGGAGGAGGAGTTTTGTTTAACTCGGCAAGGTGCCCGTCGAGGACGGGGAACAATCGCCGCTACTGGCGCTGCCGCCGCGCCGCTCGCCGCCGCGCAGGGGCGGCAGGGCCGGGCATGCGTCGACGCGGACTCCTCGGCGCTCGCGCGCAGGGCGACTGCCGCCGTGGCCCCGCCGAGGGCCAGCGGCGGGCCTCCAGGGCCACCTCCTGGGCCTCCTGAGGCGTGGCACGCGGCGCTTCGCCGCCGCCTCGCATCGCCTGGCACCCGGCGACGGTCCCGCCGACGGCGACGACGCCGACGGCGACGACGACGACGACGACGACGGTGACGACGGTGACGACGACGACGACGACGGTGACGACGGGAACGACGAAGACGACGACGACGACGCATGGTGGGTGCTGCCGAGGGCCATGCGGAGGGCCGCCTCGCATGCAAGATGGCAGCGCCGTCCGGCCGCCCGCGGGACCGCTGAGGCTCCGAGTGCCCGCTGGGCGGGCGGCCATGCCGACCGAGCTGTCTTGAGCAATCGGCGTGTCGCTTGCTGGTGAGCGGCTTGGGCACAAACGCGGTCCCTCCTCCTCCTCCTCCTCCTCCTCCTCCTCCTCCTCCTCCTCCTCCTCCTCCTCCTCCTCCCGCCAAACAGGGCCAGATGCTCGTCACGGGGACCTCCCTGGAACCACTCGCTCCACTCCTGCATCGATGCCACGTCGATCGCTCAACGACTTGAGTCAAGCTTGAACCGAAGTGCAAACGAGCTCGAGTCGAGCTAGGGCCGAATGAACAGTTCCGCTGATTATGTGGGCCGCAGGATGGCCCCCAGGAGGAACATGTAAGCAAGGCGTCTCAAGGCCTCCAGGTCACTCTCCGCCCTGTCGGCGCGCGCCATGTTGGCCTCCGCTTCCTCGACGAGCGCACGCACCTTGTACTCCGCCGCCTGGTTCGGGGGGCGATGACCCTCGATGACCACATGCTCTCATCCTCCTCCTCCTCCTCCTCCTCCTCCTCCTCCTCCTGCTCCTCCTCCTGCCCCTGCTCCTGCTCCTCCTCCTGCCCCTGCTCCTGCTCCTGCTCCTGCTCCTGCTCCTCTTCCTGCTCCTGCTCCTGCTCCTGCTCCTCCTCCTCCTCCTCCTCCTCCTCCTTTTCCTTCCTCTCACTCTCCCGCTCCCTCTCCCGCTACCTCTCCCGCTCCCTCTCCCGCTCCCTCTCCCTCTCCCTCTCCGCCTCCGCCTCCGCCTCCGCCTCCGCCTCCGCCTCCGCCTCCGCCTCAGTCTCCGCCTCCGCCTCCGCCTCGGCATCCGCCTCCGCCTCCGCCTCCGCCTCCCTCCGCCTCCCCCTCCCCCTCCCCCTCCCCCTCCTCATCCTCCTCCTCCGCCTCCACCTCCTCCTCCTCCTCCTCCTCCTCCTGCTCTTCCTCCTCCTCCTCCTCCTCCTCCTCCTCCTCTTTCCTCCTCCTCCTCCTCCTCTTCCTCTCCTCCATCCTCCTCCTCCTCCTTCTCCTCCTCCTCCACCTCCGCCTCCGCCTCAGCCTCCGCCTCCTCCTCCTCCTCCTGCCTCCTCCTCCTCCTCCTCCTCCTCCTCCTCCTCCTCCTCCTCTCCTCCTCCTCCCTCCCCCCCCCCCCTCCTCCTCCTCCTCCTCCTCCTCCTCCTCCTCCTCCTCCTTCACCTCATCCTCATCTTCATCCTCATCCTCATCCTCATCCTCATCCTCATCCTCCTCCTTTTCCTCCTCCTCCCTCCTCCGCCGCCTCCTCCTCCTCCTCCTCCTCCTCCTCCTCCTCCTCCTCGTCCTCCTCGTCCTCCTCGTCTCCCCCTCCCCCTCCTCCTCTCCTCCTCCTCCCTCCTCCTCCTCCTCCCCCTCCTCCCTCCTCCTCCTCCTCCTCCTCCTCCTCCCTTCCCTTCCCTTCCCTTCCCTTCCCTTCCCTTCCCTTCCCTTCCCTTCCCTCCCTCCCTCCTCCTCCCTCCCTCCCTCCCTCCCTCCCTCCTCCTCCTGCTCCTCCTCCTCCTCCTCCTACCTCCTCCTCCTTCACCTCACCTCATCCTCATCCTCATCCTCATCCTCCCTCCTTTTCTCCTCCGCCTCCTCCTCCTCCTCCCCTCCTCCTCCTCCTCCTTCCTCTTCTCCTCCGCCGCCTCCTCCTCCTCCTCATCCGCCTCTCCTCCTCCTCCTCCTCCTCCTCCTCCTCCTCCTTCTTCTCATCCTCGTCTTCCTCAGACCTCCGAGCAGGGCGCGTCGAAGCCTGCAGCTGCGTCTCCGCCCGGTCGGCTCGCGCCAAGCTGGCCTCCGCGTCCTCGACGAGCGCACGCACCCTGCCCTCCGCCGCCTCCTCTCGGGAGACAGCCCGCCGGCCAAAGACCTCCTCCGCTCCCCGTCCAATGGGTGGGCAAAATAACGACGGTCGAGTCCCGGACCGTCAAAAACAACTCAGGCTGAGAAGCGGGTCCTGGGAAAGGGGTCCAGACATCTGGGGAGCCACGTTGGGGGGATGTCTGGGTCCCTCGTCGCCGCCACCAGATCCCCCTTCTCGCCCACTCCCGCCCCTTCCCCCCCTGCTCCTACCTCCGCATCCCCCCGTCATCCCTACACCCTTGCCGCCTCCTGCTCCTCATCCTCCTCCTCCTCATCCTGCTCCTCCTCCTCCTCCTCCTCCTCCTCCTCCTCTCCTCCTCCTCCTCCTCCTTATCATCATCATCAATCATCATCATCATCATCATCATCATTCATCATCATCATCATCATCAGCCATCATCATCATCATCACATCATCAGATCAATCATCATCATCATCATCATTACATCATCATCATCATCAGCATCAGCAATCATAATCCAATCACATCATCATCATCAGCATCAGCATCATCATCATCATCATCATCATCATCAGCATCATCATCATCATCATCACCATCATCTCATCAATCATCATCTCATCCTCATCCTCATCCTCATCCTCATCCTCATCCTCATCCTCATCCTCATCCTCATACCTCTCCTCTCCTCATCATCATCATCATCTCATCATCAGATTCATCATATCACATCATCCTACTCATCATCATCATCATCAGCAGCATCATCATCATCATCATCATCATCCTCATCAGCATCATCATCATCAGCATCATCATCATCACCATCACCATCATCATCATCATCAGCATCATCACCATCATCATCATCAGCATCAGCATCATCAGCATCATCATCATCATCCTCATCCTCATCCTCATCAGCATCATCATCAGCAGCATCAGCATCAGCATCATCATCATCATCATCATCATCATCATCAGCATCATCCTCATCATCACCACTCTGCATCTCATCCTGGTCCTGCTCCTGGTCCTGTTCCTGCTCCTGCTCCTGCTCCTGCTCCTTTGCCTCCTCCTCCTCCTCCTCCTCCTGCCCCTCCTCCTCCTCCTCCTCATCCTCATCCTTTTCTCCTCCGCCTCCTCCCCCTCCTCTTCTCCTGCTGTTTGTTTTGTTTTTCTCCTCCTCCTCCTCCTCCTCCCTCCTCCTCCTCCCTCCTCCTCTCCTCCTCCTCCTCTTCCTCCTCCTACTCCTCCCACCCCCCTTCCCTCCCTCCCTCCTCCTCTCCTCCTATTGGCTCCTCCTCCTCCTCCTCCGCCTCTCCTCCTCCTCCGCCTCCTCCTCCTCCTTCATTCTGCCCTCCTCCCCTCATCACTCATCACCTCCTCCTCCTCCTCCTCCTCTCCTCCTCCTCCCGTCCTCCTCCGCCTCCTCCCGTCCTCCTCCGCCTCCTCCTCTCCTCCGCCTCCTCCTCCTCCGCCTCTCCTCCTCCTCCTCCTCCTCCTCCTCCTGGTCCCCTCCTCCTCCTCCTTCTCCTCCGCTCTCTCCTCCTCCTCCTCCTCCTCCTGCTCCTCCTCCCCTCCTCCCTCCTTCCTCCTCCTCAGGTCTGCACCCCCTCCTCCTCCTCCTCCTCCCTCCTCCTCCTCCTCTCTCCTCCTCTGGTCCCCCTCCTCCCTCCGCCTCCGCCTCCTCCTCCTCCTCCGCCTCCTCTCCTCCTCGCTCCTCCTCCTCCTCCTCTACTCCTCCTGGTCCCCCTCCTCCTCCTCCTCCTTCTCCTCCTCCTCCTCCTCCTCCTCCTCCTCCTCCTCCTCCTCCTTCTCATTCTACCCCTCCTCCCCTCCTCCTCCGCCTCCTCCTCCTCCTCCGCCTCCTCCTCCTCCTCCTCCTCCTCCTCCTTCAGGTGCTGCGAAGCAGCGAAGGGTCTTGCATGGAGGAGGAGGAGGATGAGAGAGGAGGAGGGAGGGGAGGGGCGGAGGAGGAAGTAGGGGCAGGAGGAGGAGGAGGAGGAGGAGGAGGAGAAGGAGGAGAGGCAGGAGGAGAAGGAGGAGGAGAAGGAGGAGGGGGGAGGTGATGAGATGTCTTCTCCTCTCATCTGCCCAGGCCAGGCCGATCAAGGTGCCTGGTCCCAAGTGGGGGGATGGAACGGAGGGGGGGGAAAGGCGGAGGGGGTGGGAAAGAGAGGGGGCGGGAAGAGGGACGAGGACCAGCTTTGGGGGAGCCGCAAGGGGACTGCGGGCCAGCAAGAGGGGGAAAGGAGGAGGAGGAGGAAGCAGAGAGGCGGAGGAGGGATGAGGGAAGAGAGGGAGGAGGAAGAGAGGAGGAAAACAGAAGGAAGAGAGGAAGAGGGAAGAAAGGAGAAGAAAGAGGCAGAGACGATGGGTCGGAAAGAAGAAAAGAGGAGGAAGGGAAGGGGGAACGGGAAAAGAGAGACGGGGGCTGGGGGAGGCAGAGAGGGCTTGACTCCAGAGCCTCATCAAATCATCGGAAGACCTCTTTTACCCTCCCTCCTTAGAAGCCCCCTAGATGGGGTCGGAGTGGATGGGGTCGAAGGAATGCGCCGCATCGCCGATTCATCGACGATGCATCGCCGATGCACTGGCGATGCCCTGGTAACGTCGGCGATACATCCGAAACGTCGGCGTGGAGAACATCGGGCCCCACATCGAGCCGCATTGCCGATGCAACGACGAAGGGGCGCGATCCTTCGACCCCATCTGCTCGGACCCCATGTGGGAGGTCTAGCCTCCTCTTCCTTCCTCGTAGGGGGTATCGGTGAGCCAGTGCGGGCGCACGCGCCACGAGGAAGGAGAGAGGAGGAAACAGGGAGGAGGGCGGAGGAGGGGGAGGAGGAGGAGGAGGAGGAGGAGGAGGGGGAGGAGGAGGAGGAGAGGGAGGAAGGGAGGGAGGGATGGAGGGACGAGCCTTCTCGGACGTCAGCACGGAGATCTGCAGCTCATGCTGGCGCTGTTTCTCCTGCGCGGCCGCGCCCTGGGCCTGCAACTCGCGAACGCGCAGCCTCGCCCGCTCGACGTCCTCCCTCGCCTTCTCCGCGCCATTCTCCCCAGCGCTGGCGACCTTCCACCATGTGCTCCTGCTGTTCCTCCTGCTCCTGCTCCTGCTCCTGCTCCTGCTCCTGCTCCTGCTCCTGCTCCTGCTCCTGCTCCTGCTCCTCATTATCCTCCCCCTTGTCCCCTTCTTCCTCCTCCTCCTCCTCGTCCTCCTCCTCAACTCCTCCTCCTGAAGAAAAAATCATCACTGTCGCACCCCGAATCCAGTCGAAAGGGCGGGTCGGGCGTTTCGCCTGAGACGTCTCATCATCCATGATCCTGAAGCTTACAAACCGGGGATAGCTTCACAAATGGAGGGCGGGCCGCTTTCAAAATGTGGTTCACGCCTGAGGACCGCGCTCATTCGTCTTGAAAATTAGCAAAAACTTATCGGATTGAGGGCGGGTCGTTTTCAATATGCGGCTCTTGTGTTAGCGCCGTGTTCTCTCCCTCTCTCTCTCTCTCTCTCTCTCTCTCTCTCCCTCTCTACATTATATATATATATATATATATATATGTGTGCGTGTTTCTCGGATTGAGGGCGGGGGCGGGTCGTTTTCAAAATGTGGTTCTCGCCCCAGCGCCGAGCACACTCGTTTTGACAGACAGAGCTTCTCGGATGGAGGCCGGGCGACTTTCAAAGTGTGGCTCTCGCCCTGGCGCCGCGCACCTTCGTCTTAAACAATTGCAGAAGGTTTTTGAATTGAGTGCGGCTCCTTTTCAAAATGTGGCTCTCGCCTGAGCGCCGCGCACAGTCGTCTCACACCGTTGCAAGAGTTCCACGGATTCCCATGGCCAACGCACCAGAAATGGCGTTCGGGGACGACTCAGGGTTGTTAGGGCGCAACATCTACTATGCTTCGCGGTGTTAAAATCCCAGGAACGGCGTTCTGGCAAGATTCAGGAGGTTCAATATCGTCAAGATGTAACGTTCGGGTGTGGCGTTGGAGTCTCGGGAGTGGTGCTTTTGCACGCCCCCGTCACAAATGGGGCACGTCCCCCGTTCTCAGGTCCCAACGGGACCTGAGAAGAAAAAGCTTAGGAGGAGGATTCATTCGAACGCCGTCGATAAATCTTGATAGTGCACTGGTCCTCCTCCGTCTCCTCCTCCTCTTCCTCCTCCTCCTCCTCCTCCTCCTTCTCCTCCCTCAAGCAACTTGGGCTCGAGCATTTTGCTGGAGCCGACTCCAGTACCTGCGCGTAGGTGCTTGGGCCACACCAGTCTCGCACACTTTTGTTGAACACGTGCCAACTGGTGACTAAATCTGGAGTTCAAAGAGCAATGACGGGAGGACCGAACATGGCCACAGGATGGTCCAAGTGCCACCACTGCAATCGTTGCGAATGGAATAGCATTCTGAAGTCCAACAATTTCCAGCGCAGCAGGTGCCACAAGAAGGTCAAGCTGCACAAGCCCACGAAGTCGGACAATGATGCCAAAACTAGAGCTGGTCACGTTCAGGATCCCCAGGGCACCCAGGCTAAGCCCGTCACTGAGATGGAGGCGCTGAAGCTCACCATCCAGACCACGACGGACGTCGCGCTGAAGGACACCCTCCAGCAGAAGCTCGCGGCCATTCAGAACAGCCAGGCCTCAGAAGGCTCGGCGGCCTCTGTGGGCGCGGCAGAGACGTTGCGCAAAGCAGTGGGAGCCTGGAAAGACGCAGATTTCAAGCATGGACAAGCAGTAGCAAATGTAGTACGGCTACGTGAATCCCTGGCAACGGCCGAGGCAAAGGAGACGGCGGCAGCTGAAACCTCAGCCCAGGCCACCCTGGTCAAGCAGCAAGCGACGGCGGCCCTGGCAAAGATCGAGGGCATCACGGCGCCAAGCGGCCAGAACCAGAAGGGCACGGGGGCCAAGAAAGAAGGAGAGTACAACCCTAACTTCCAGATCACGTGGGACGAGAGCATGTTCACGGACCTGGACACAAAGGAGTACGAGCAAGTGGAGAAGGACAGACTGATCGCCATACAAGCTGAGCTGACAACCTTCCGCACCAAGGAGCAGGGCTACAACTCGGAGGTCGAGAAGTGGCTCACCGAGAGTGCGGAGCTTCGTCAGAAGGCCCAGGACCGCGCTGCCAAGAAGCGCAAGGCCACTGGCGGCGCCCCCGAGCAGGACCCAGGCGCCCCGCCCGAAAGGGCCGAGGGCGGCGCGGCGCAGACGGCCCCTCCAGCGGAGGCTGCCGTCGCGCCAGCGACTGGGTGCAGCCAGGCAGCGGGCGCTGCCATGAAGGCGCCGCCTGATGAGGCCACGGCCGAGGAGGCAGCGCAGAAGGAGCAGATAAAGCAGGCGGCGCAGAAGTTGTCGGAGGCCAAGTTCGCCGCCCAAGTTCAAGCTCGTGGTGCCCGTGGAAAAGGTCAGAACCAGAACACCATGGGCAGCGGCAAGGGCAAGGGCTCGCTGGGCCAGCAGGCGCCGCATTGAAAGGATGACGCGGAGAGCAGAGAGGGTCAGCCTCGGCAGGCATCAGAGTCTCAGGGGGAGACTCCAGGGTCGAAGCCAGCCAACGAGGCCAAGACCAGCAAGCTGTTCTTCGCGAATGTCACCGCCATGGGGGACAAGTGCTGGAGATTCATTGAATCAAATAAGGCATCGTATCAATTCTTCGGTCTAGCTGAAACTCATGTTGGAGCAAATGAGGTTCGCAAGTGGGACGCCAAAGCCCGCAAGAGTAGCCTCCGCTTGCTAGCCAATTAAGCACGCTCGACCAATAAAGTTGTTTGCAAGGGTAGATCCAGCAAAGCCAATGAAGGGGGCGAGTGGGTACTCGCTCACGGCCACCTTCAGCGCAGTCAGTTAGCAGCTCCCGAAGGCGCCACGGCCCTCCAGGCCAAGGGCCAGGCGTGTTGGGGCGGTTTCATGCCAGTAGTAAGTCAGTGTCAGGGCTATGTGCTCGTTTTAGTTATATGTTATGCGTACCCGTCGATAAAAATGACTGGCAAAAATCTGTTGCGGTTTCACCACCTTGGAGCGTCGTTGAATTCTCTCAGGGTTCCGTGGATTGTAGCAGGTGGTTATAACATGCCAGCGCCCGTACTTTCTCACTCAGGCTTGTTGACCGCCGCGGGCGGGCAGGCGGCGCAAGCATCAGTCGAGACCACTTGTTCTACGGGAGAAAAAGGGTCCCACATCGACTATTTGGTTTGTAGCCAGTCCGCCAGAGCCCTCATCAAGTCTGTCATACCTGTAGCTAAAGTGCCGTGGAAACCCCACATAGGCCCTTCCTGTAGAACTTCGCTGCGCTGGGGCCCAGTTGGAGACTAGAACCCTTAGATTGCCTGCTAAGCTTCCTCAGGAGCCAAGACCAGTTGCCACAGCCGTGCCCTGGTCTAAATCAGCTCTTGCGAGGTCGAAGCGCCAGCAGAAGCAAGCACACACCAAGGCCAAGAGAGCCGAGGTGTATTCAGAGTTGTTTGGGGACCGCGTGGAACCCGAATCGTCAGCCGCGCCTCGCCGAAGAGCTCAGGGTGGCGACGAGGGGGGCGCGGCTTTTTAATTTTGAATTTGAGAAGGATTTCGAAGCGTGGCCAGAGGACGATTGGCTGACGCAGGAAATCTTCGAGGCCGAAGCTGACCTTATAAGTGTCACCCCGACCCCCCCTTTAATCAGCCAGGCCGACCCCCAGGGGGATAGACCAAGTTTCGAGATCCCTGAGCAGACATGGAGGGAGTGCCGCCAGAATGTTGGATTTACTCCTGAAGCTGACTGCCCGCCCCCAGGCTACTTTCTCGACTCGGTCAGTAGTCGTTTTGGCTCAAGCAATCTTGGCTCCATCAGCGCCCACTTCGCCTCGTGGGTCACCGCGCTGGAGGATGCGATTTGCACTCATCATGCATGTAAGGCCCCGCCTGGCGCCCGCAGAGCTGAAAGTGCCAGTTTTCACAAGTCAGCGGTCCAGCAGGGGGCTTCGCTTGGAGAGGCCCAGCCATTTCAAGACGAAGTTGCGAACTGGTGGACGCAGGTGAGTACAATTGCAGCCGGCCTGCAAAAGCATCGAGAACGCCAAAATGGGGAAAAACAAGTTGAGCATTTCCTGGAGTGCTGCAACAGCTTGGCCAATGATATTCCAGACAAAGCCTCGCAAATTCTTACAAAGCTGGAACCAACTTTCGATAGTGTGGTCAGAGTTCTGAGAACAATCAAAGATCAACCAGATTCAGTGGTCAAAAAAGTTGCAGCCCTCACACGAAAAGCGAGTAAAAGGTCCCAAGCTCGAGCTCTCCATGCATCAATGGAAAAGTTCCGAACGTGGGTTGATTCTCAGGAGGCAATGGGATGTCTGCATAAATCTATAAAGGAACAGCCGCTGCCGCCGCAAGAGTAAAAGACAAGCGATGGAATGGTTATATCTTCGCCGAAAGAAATGATCGACGCCAAGGTGCCTAAGTGGATAGGTATCTGGGCGCCGCCGTTGTTGGGTTATGAAGATCTGGACAGAGCTTTTGGAGAAGCTCGTACGGCAGCAAGCGTCAACCCCTTGTTGCCATTAGATCCTGATGGCATCAGAAGAGCGACAAAAAATGAGGCCGAATGTAGGCCAAGGAGTTGACAGATTATCACCGACGGACATAGAAAGACAGTCAAATGCAGCCTTGGAAGAGCTATCAGAATTGCATCAAGCAATTGAAACAAGTTTGTGTTGGCCTGTACAAACTCAGTTGGTGATTGGACATATGACGCCAAAACATCGTGGTGATGGTGACAGAGTGATGGGATTAATGTCAATGCTGAGCAGAGTGTGGTCGCAAGCACGGGACTCACACGTAGCTGAGTGGTCAACGGCAACGGCCCCCAAGAGGGACGCTGCAGTGGAGGGCAACGCAGCCCTAAGAGAAGCATTCGTAAGAGTACTGGACGAGGAGTTAGCTGGAATTCTGAACACGCCCCTCGGACACGGACTCATGGATATGAAAGGCTTCTATGACACAATAACGTGGTGTAGACTAATAACTTGTGCATTGAGGCTGGGGTTCCCTGCTCAGATCCTATATCTGGAATTATTAAGCTGTGCAGCGCCGAGAACGCTCCGACAATCAGGAGCATTCTCAGAACCCTTCAGCCCGACACAGTCAGTGGTGCAAGGATTAAGAGGAGGAACGAGATTCGCAAGAGCAATGGTTTACTTCATTTTGGAAACGATAACTGTTGCGCATCCAAACTTCACGCACAGAATATGGATTGACGACTTGAGCCAAAGCACACAAGGATCCAGAGACACGATTAGAAAGCAACTGGTGCAAGTGTTGGTGGACACATGTGATGGATTGAAAAAGCAAAAGCTCAAAGTGGCAACAAAAAGTGCAGTGCTGTGTACGTTCATGGATGATGCCAAATATGTAGCACGGAAGGTTCGACAAGCAGGATATCCACTGGAGGCTTTATCCCAAGTGTCATACTTGGGGGCGGATTTATCAGGGGGACGTCGTCACGGTCGAGCGGTCAAACGTAAAAGGATGGACAAAGCGGGTGTCATGAACGCAAACATAAAAAAAGCTTGCTGCCGCCACCCGCCGATATAAACCAATGATCAGACTTGAAAAGCAGGGAGCGTATGCAGCAGGGTCGTATGCACATCAATTACACGGATGTTTCGGACAGCAGCTGCAAACGTTTAGAACGCGTCTGGGGGCCATCAGCGCAGCCCCCACGTCAGGAAGGTGCCTGACAACATTGTTGGCGCTAAAGTGTCCCGACTCAGATCCTGGAGTAAAAATGCCAGCGGAGTGCCCCCAGCTATGGTTCAGAATGTGGGCGTTTGAAGGGAAAGCAATGCAGCCAGCGGTCAAAAAAAAATATGGAGTGCAACTGTTGAAAGGCTTGTTGCCCTGCAGCCAGGTCAGAGACATCGCCACATACGAGGTCCCCTGACAGCTGTAATCACCTACTTGCTTGAAACGGGGTGGACACCCACCTCGGCCGAGTCATGGGACAGGAAGCCCAGACCCGATGGGGAAATAATAATGGAATTTCCCGCCCGAAGCCTTCACAAAGTTTGCGTCAGTGGATACAGCAGGCGATCTCATTCGTGAATTCAAAGAGGACCGCCAAAGTATGTATTGGCAACAAGCCAGTAAACACTATTGTGGAGAATGGTTGGAAGAAGGAGCATATATGTATAGTTATATCCAGCTTATAAGACAACTCAGAGATGTGCCTCATGGGCACAGATTGTCGGAGCTAATGGTGGCCATCGCAACGGGGGGAACTTGGCCAAGGCAACGTCGTCACAATTGGGCCCCAGCCGAAGTGGATAATCTTTGCCCTCGGTGTAAAAGGTCGCCAGAAACAATGTTTCACAGATGCTGGAATTGTGATGAAAACAAAAATTCAAAAGCGCATACAGTAACGGACGAGTTATTGCCAGAAGCGTACAGCCAACACGAAGCCACACAATGTTTCTGGTTGAGAGGTTTAATACCCAAATCGTGGACAGCTGCACCGCCGCCGCCGCTTGACTATAACTGGAAATACGGAGGACGACTCAATTCAAGCAAAAAAAAAACGCTCGGAGTAGGATCGCAATCCAGGCCAGTCTGTGTAGCAGGTGATGCTAGTGGGGGGAAGGACACCATGGATCCTCGCCTTCGTAGGGTAGGAGTTGCCATAGTTCAATTAGACCTCCCTGGGGACCAAGTCGAGCCCTCCAATGAGGCTTTGGACATCTTGGGCACAATTCACGGGGCCCTCCCAGGGCCGCGCCAGACGGTAGCGAGAGGGGAGCTTGCAGGACTCCTCCTAGCGTGTCAGGCCTCGGCTGGGCATCTTATATATATATATATATATATCTGTGATAATCTAGGCGTGGTCTCGGGCTTCTATAATAAGAAGTATTTAACTCCAGAAAGTGAAGACTCCGATCTTTGGGAAGAGCTTGGTCCGGAGTTTCTCCGTGGTCGTGACCCTTCTTGTGTAACAGTGCTGTTCGTGAATTCCCGCCTAGACGGCAAGGCTGTCTTTCAGGGGTTGTGTCCAGAGTGGTTGAGTTTAGCCAATGCTGCAGCAGATGCAGTAGCTGAAGTCGCGTCAGACGAATGCCGTGTCCCTGCAAAAGATAGGCACAGTGTCAATTTGATTGAGAAAAAGGCGTTTCTCGTACGACACAGGTTGCTGCGGGCAACGTTAGATGCCACGGAAGTCGAGAAATAGATTGCTGCCAGTGAGCGAAGGAGAAATAAGGTTGGTCCTGACGCCAGCGTCCTCTCCCCTCCCCCGCCCCCTGGCCAAAAGTCAGCTTCTGTTTTCTGTACAGAGCATGTCCTCACAGACCGTGGTAATGGATGCCAGAGGTGTGGTAGCACCGCGACTCAGGCCGAGCTCCTTGAATGGAGAAAGACCCCATGTTTCGAATTAAATCACCTAGGAGGTGTGTTTCGGTCTCTCCCTGAGGGGGCTCGGTTGCACCTGGCGGGGGTATGGGTCCATCAAACGCACCAAATGCAGTACCATTCGGGATTACAGACCTGGTTTTGCATAAGTTGCGGTTTCTTCGGCCAAGCCCAGCTCGTTAGCTTAGGTAAGGAATGCCCGAATGTAATACCTAAGCATCGACAGGAATACCTAAGCCGTATTTCTCGCCATCTTCCTCCGAAGGTTTTAAGCAGGGCCGAGAAGGAGAAGAGGGGTAGGCTTTAAGGGGGGGGAGAGCGGTCGTCCGTCGTGAGCGAGCGAGCGGCGACGGCGCGTGCGCGCGGCGCGCGCGCCGCCCCCTCCGTTCACCAACTTCAAGGACGGCGGCCGCCCCCGC